AGCAACTGGGTCAGGAATTCCATTGTAGCTTGACTCTTGGATGTACAACGTTGCAACCACATGCTGTAACAAGAGGAGAAAATGCTGCAACATCTACAGAGGAAAAGACAGGTTGATAAACCTGCCCTATTTTTATAATTTTTTGTTTTGAGAATATAGGAATGGCAGCAGGAGTAAACCATTTGGCCCCTCTTGCCCACTCTGCTATTATTAGACTGTGACTGATCTTCCGCGTCAACACTGTTTTCCTGCACAATCCCCATATCACTTGATTATTTTTAGTTTTGAGGAATCTATTGACCTCTAATCTAAGTGAACAAATTCCATTCCATCTCTATAGCTATAATCCCTCCTTCTGAGATTATGTCCCCAGGTCCTAGATCCCTTCACCTCCCTACCTCTACCCTGTGGAGCCCTTAAGAATTTTGTATGTTTCGGTGAGAAGGTTTTGATTTCAGACTCTGGCGATGGCATGGCATGGACTGGTGTAGCCCAGAGCTGGACTGTAGCAGCAGAGAAGGAAAAGTTGGACACTCTAAGTTATCTTTCTTGACTTATTTTACTTTTAAGTCTATGAGAATTGCACCTATGCATTGTGACGGTACGCACTTTTCACTGTATTTTATGTTGAATACGCATGACAATAAATGATTCAATTCAATTCTTTCAGTTTATTTTAAAGCCAAAAGCATATTGCTGGTTAAAGTTAGTCACTGGTGAATGATAGAGGAGTGAGTTTTCTTGAACATTGCTGGAGGAAAGTAGCCTTTCTTCTGTATGTTTGTCTATGTGGAGCGGGAACAGGAGCCTTGATGCAGGACTGGAAGGCTGCCAGACAACCTCGAATGTTGATGGCCATTAAAAACCATGTTAGAAATAAGAGAAGGTTAAAACCATTCAGTTCAGCTCACCTAGTGCACCATGCAATATGATCACGTCTGATCTTGGTCTTCTACTCCGCTTTCCCCTCCCCATATCACTTGATTCCCTGAGAGATCACATAATCTGCCTTTATCAGCCTTAAACATAGTCACTAGTGTATCTATACCACTGGTGTAAAGATTCACAGTCCTTTTAAGTAATTTTGCCTCATCTCAATCCTAGATAATAGGTAAAAACTGAAAGAATTGCAGATGCTGTAAATCAGACATGAAACCAGAAGTTGCTAGAAAAGCTCAGCAGGTCTGGCATCATCTGTGGAAAGAAATCAGAGCTAATGTTTTGGGTTGAATGACCCTTCCTCAGAACAGAACCTAAATAATGGGTCCCTTAAACTGAGAGAGTGCTGCCTTATTCTTGATTTCCCAGCCAGCGGAAACAGACTCTTAGTATCTTATCTGTGAAGCTCATTCACAATCTTTAAGGTGATTGCATGGAAACTTCTCATTCAGCTTAACTGCAGGGAGATTGAACCCAATTTACTTAGCTGGCACCATAAGAAAGCCTGGTCATGCAGAGTAAACCAAATCTAATATAGTGTAGTCCATATTGCTTGGGCCTATGTTTATAAGATCCATCAGCTTGCACAACCAATGGATATGTAGTCACTTATTTCATTGCTGTGTGTGACCTGTTGTAGATATTGCAAATATTATGTAAATTGTTCAGGCACATCAAGAGTGTTCCTTCACATTAAGATCATACAACGGAACAAAGGGTAAATTTGAGGCTGATAACAAGAAGTTTGTCCTTCAAGGACTCATCAACATGTAGAAAAGTCTTCCTATGTAAGGGCAGTGGAGATGAAAGTGACAATCATTTCTGATGCAACTGTTGAATGTTCAAATGCAGGAAACGAAGCTGCATTCTGAAGGGAAGAGCTATGTATGGTCAAATGATGGTACTTAGTGAAAATTTGTTCTGTGAAGGCCGTACTTGCATGAATCAATTTATTAATGCAGCCATCTTCACTTCATTCCAATAGTAACAGGGTTTGATTTGGCTTTCCATTGATCTGTAAAACGTTTTGCTCCAGCAGTTTTGTGCCAAACCCCACTGCTGAGATTCGATGCCAAGGACTTGCCTATCTGAATGTGTCTGAGTTTAGTTGGTAGATATCGGTATCAGTGACTGCTGTGGAAAATCTTGCATGAATGTTTCCTCCTGCAAGGCAATAAAGGGCTTCAGGAGCTTGTAGAGCTGCATTGCTACATGAATCGCTGACGCTGGGACAAGAGACAGTTAGGACGCAATTGTGATACGCTGGGCTATCCCCGAGATGCACTGCACCACCTCTTTCCTATTGCTGTGCATTTTAGAAATATTCCATTTTGGTTTCATGCTCCCAACTTCTCTCAAACTTGTCAAATCAAATTTAAAAAAAAAAAAAAAAATCGTGTCCACAGCTACCCCTTTCTGTGTGCGGACTAACATTTGCGCACGAGCATTTAATCCAGCCGTATGCTTTTATGCAATAAGCAAATTCCACATCTGATTTTTGACTGATTTGGGAGCATGATATGGCAGCAGTGAGTCAGAGGGATTTCTCCGTCTGTCCTTGGGAGGATTAACTAACCCACAAAAACACTTGACTTTTTGTCTCAGCTATGATTGTCATATGATAGTTGCACTCAAAATAGGGGTTTGGTGAAGTTGCAGAGAGCCTACGTCTTTATGTTTATGTTTGGTTAAATATTTAGCAGTGATTACATGAACAACAGATTAACTCCCACATTACTGCAATTGAAATGTCAACACAGTCATCTTGTGACACATTGCACTATTTGATGGCAAGTATAGAAATGCGATGTGCACCATTTCTGCAATCTCAGTATAACCGTTTGAATTCTTACCTCTGACTGTGCTGTTTCTGATACTGTCACTGTTCCTGGTCTCTTAAAACAATCCTGTAAAACCAAAGTTTAACCCTGTCTTCCCAATCTAGTATTATACTGAATTTGGTGTCCTCAATGTCAATTGTCCACGTGTTGAAGGTGATCCAGTTTGTCTCAAAGATTGTCTAATGACTCTGGTACCTGTCCCAGATGAAGCTCATTGCCACTGCGTGGGCAGTAGGGATATATAACAAGTATGGTCCGTGCCTTTTACAGTGCCAAAAGAGATGGGTTGAGTGGTTTAATAGGGAGGCTCAGTACTTGGCAGTATGTTTGGGAGTCTGTTGAAATTGCCACTGTTAATGAAATATAAAGTTGTGTTGAAATTGATCTGATAATTGTTTGTATATTTGTACACGGGATAAAAATGTATTTAGTTTATCCTTTCATGGAATGTGAGCATCCCTTGGTAAGGCCAACGTTTGTTGCCTATCCCTAATTGTCTTGGAGAAGGTAAGAAGACAATGCAGTGAAAACCCAGTTGACTGTGGAGAGCTATGGTCTTGACGTGTAAAGAAATTGCAGTCCTTCCTGAGCCAGCACTGTCATCTTTTAAAGTTGCTTGTTGCATACTACATTCAACCTCATGTCTCACTGACCAATGTAGAACAGAGCTGATGAAAGATCATTGACTGGAAATGTTAATTTTTGTTTCTCTCTCTTGGGGGATAGCAGAAAATAGCTGGCACCAATGGAGCTTGCTCTATCCTAGTATGAGTCAGACCTTCATCTTTTGGAAAGAGAGGGAGGAAGTCCCTTTTAAGGAAGATTTGCATTTTTCTGATTCTCCCTTCTCTCCATTGACCAAAGGCTGGCAGGTCATTTAGTCTTACCCAAAGGGATAGTGCACACTGTCAAGCAATTTATTCATTTAAATAGGCTCTGGTGTAGCTACCTGATTGAGTCTCTAACATTAGTGGCAGAGCTGAAACTAGACATAATCATTCTGGAGAAGCACATGACTGCAGATGCTGGAATCTGTAGTGAAAACAACAAATGCTGGAGATCACAGCAGGTCAGGCAGCATCCATGGGGAAAAAAAAAGCAAGCTAACATTTCAAGTCTAGATGGCTCTTCATCAGACTCTGAAAAGCCACCTGGACTTAGCTTGCTTTCTCTCCATGGATACTGCCTGACCTGCTGTTATCTTCAGCATTTTTTTTGTTTCATAATCATTCTGAACTTCAGTCCATTTGAAGTCCATCCACCTCTTGCTTTTGGATGGAGGAATATGTAGTTGTAATGTTAAAGTACATGGACCAAAAAGTAAACGTTGTGATTCCTGAATTAGCTGACTTGGGCTGAGACAGCACAAAGGATCCTGAAATTAGACCTCAGCTGAGGAGTAGAGAAAGGTATTAGTGAGGAATAAAAATCGGCCAGGACTCTTGCTGCATGTCACGGCTGTGTGTGTGTGTGTGTGTGTGTGTGTGTGTGTGTGTGTGTGTTGGCATCATGTTTTCATTCTGACTAGTTTGTTCAATTTTACGTAAAGAAAAGCCATTGAACTGAGGTATCAATGGTTTGCTGGTGTACACAGTGCTGTTATCCCAGGCAATCTCTTATGTTCCAGGAGACGGGGAGGAGAAAGCATAATATACACCTGAGATGTAGCAAACAACACCTGTCCAATGTGCCAGTTGCTGCCCTGTTAAAATAATTCCTTGTTCACTTTCAAGATTGTCTTCTTTTGGAGTAGAAAGCATTTAAATCTTAAATGGTGCTGTGGCTTTGTTGTAGCCTCTTGTCTCTGAATCACAGCTTTTAAACTCAGCTGCAGTTTTGAGCACATAATGTGTAGGCTGAGTCGCATGATGCAGCGCTGCACTGTTGCTGATGCTGCTTTTGTTAAACTGAGACCCTACTTACCATTCTGGAGGGAAACTTGATGGTCCTTGTATGACAAATCGAAGAGGGGAGGGGAGTTCGCTCGGTATTCTAGCCAACATTCCTCATTCCTGAGCATTCTACCCAAAAAGTAAAATTAAATTCTGGTCTCTCACTTGTTTGATGTTAGTGGAATCTTGCTGTGCAATTTTGAAATAATTCATTGATTTGAAAGTGCGATGAGATGAGACGTTACTTATACGTCTGGTTGATCCACTAATCTAGGACAAACAACAAAGTGAAACTGATACCGATCATGTATGTGTTTGTTTCTTTCAGGTTCCATCCCACGGGAAACCTTGATGCATTTTGCAGCGCGGCTGGGTTTGTCCAGGCTAGCTTCGTTCCTACTGCAGCAACCAGGTGGACAGGAGGCTCTTGGTATCACTAACCTTGACGGTGCGACACCCGTTCATCTGGCAGCACAGCGAGGTTTCCATGATCTCCAGGACCTTTTTACCCAGTGAGTGTTCTCCATTTCTGAGCATGGCTGCTCACCATTTCGTCTGCACAAAGGGGTTTGTCTGCTTTCTAGCCCTATACAGTAAACCTGTGCCACAGTTGTTAGAAATTGAAGCAAATTAATGCCACCAGCTCTAAGCAAATAACTTGGGGAGAAAAGAATTCTCCTGTCGTCATTGTGTCTGCTGATCTCTTACCCCTTCAATTCCATCTCCAAGCAAATGTATTAATTATAGTTTTGTATCTTTGTCTATATGGGGGAGGGAAGGTGCATGTGTTTCTCTTCAAGACTGTTATTAAGAGCACTCTGCAACTTTGGTGTCAAACTACAGGTGCAAAGTATAATCAGCAAGGTAATGAGATCTTTCAGAATTGTAAGGTAGCACCTCGTGATGAGAACTCTGATATATTGAATTGCACATCTGTGAAGAGTCCTTACATTATTTTCTGGTGCAAGTGACAGGTGAAACAGCCCTCAGAGGAAGTTTGAACCACAAGCGCAGCACAAGAGCTGGCTTCACAGAAGGCATCTTCTGTGGTTTTTTTGAAGTGTTGAGGATATTGCTGAGAACGAACCTGGCTAAGACAAAACCTGCAATTGCAGAAATAACAATAAAACTGAAAATATGAGCAGATGTGTTAGCATCTGAAAAGATGCTATACTAAACTAGAGTAATTAAACAAACCTGTGTTTGAATTTTATGGCACGTTATCAGATTTTTCAGTCGCCTCAAAGTGTACCTCATCAATTTTTTTTTCAAGTTTCTTGCAGTTTACAGTGAGGCTCCCTCAGACAACAGATGAGGTGAATTGCCAATATGGTACAGACCTGGAGTGGTCCACTGTTGATCAGGACAGTGGAGAAATTCCCTACTCTCTCTACATGAGATCTCTTCTGTCTGTCTCAATAATAAAGTCAGAAGTCACATGACACCAGGTTATAGTACAAATAAACCTGTTGAAATTATAAGCTTTCAGAGCGCTGCTCCTTCGTCAGGTGGAGTGTGTTTAGGTGAGAATGCTTACAAGCTGAACCAACTAACATTACAGTGGAGGTAAAAATCTCATGGGATTTTGTTGCATCTTTAATATTGCACTGATCAGATCACATTTGAAGTATTAAATACAATTATGATTATCATATTACAAAAGGTAGTTGCAATGACACAACAGGTTGCAAAGACCAGAAAGAGAAAAGGTGACATAAAAAACAAGAATATTTTTAGAAACAGGATGAGCAAAAGAGTCATGTCTCTTTGTCAAAAGAGTCCTGGTGAAGTCAATTTGATATTCATTTAAAACTGAGTACAAATCTAAAAGTTCCAGAGCTCATAAAGAAATAGTGTTGGACATTAGATTCTGATCCATCACTTAAAGAAAGTTTAACCAGTAACCATCCATGGAACTGTCTTCCAGAAGGGGTAACAGTGAAGGGGACTGTGTTTAAAATGTATGGAATGGGGAGGTTAGGATACCAGACAATGTGGTTTGGCAGCTAAATAGCCTTTTCTTGATTTTACTTTCTTTCAATATTCTTCCCCCTTTCACATTCACTTTGCATTTGTGTATCTGAAATATTGATCTGTTTTTATCTAAGATACTGATACAACTGCACAGTATGTTTCTGACCCTGTTAAGGTGTTTGCTCTACATGAGGAGTCTGATTATTTTACTCCTATTTGTCCTGCATTGGGAAGTGTAACTGTCTTTAGATTCCCCAGTTATAATCTGAAAAATGCCCTAAAGCATCTTTTGATGAATTACTTTAAAGTGTGATAATCGTGTGGCAAATATTCCAGCCAGTTCGATGCAAACAAAGTTTTACAAAGAGCAGTGAAATGTTTGATCAGTGAGGTATATGACAGATAAGCGAGTTAATGAGTGTTCATGCCAAAGGCACTTTGTCTAATGGAAGCCTGTTTTAAATGTAGAGTTAGTTACTGGGGAAATTTTCTGCCATCATTAACGGAGTTGGCTGAATTCTTGCCTTAATCATAGAACCTGTACTGTACAGATAGAGGCCATTCTTCCGATCAAGTCTGCATCAACCCTCCAAAAAGCATCCCGGCCTATCCCCATGACCTCACGTTTCCCTTGGCTAACCCACCTAGCCTGCACAACTCTGGGTACTATCGGGTAATCTAGCATGGCCAATCTATCAAACCTGCACACCATTGAACTGTGGGAAGAAACCGGAGTGCCCGGAGGAAACCCACACAGACACGGGAAGAATGTGCAAACTCCACACAGACAATCAGAAGGCTGTGGATGCAAGTCCCACTCCATAGACTGGAACAAAAGATTTAGAATGATAATTGACTGCAATACTTGAGAGAGTGCTGCCGTGTGAGAAGGGCTGATTTTTGGCTGAGATGTTAAACTGAGGCTTCATCCATCCCCTCATTTGTATGGAAAACATCCAACTTTTTACTCTGAAGGAAAGTAGAAGAATTCTCCCTGATGCCTGGTCTCTAACCCAATATTTGGTCACCTACCAGTTTCAGTGAAACCCATTGTCTGACACTGTGCTTTTTTTGCTTATTTGACCTCTGACCTCTTTGTGGCTTAGAATTTCAGATCCCCTGTCAAGCAATTTGGGATTGTTTGGCGCACTGAAGTTGCTATATAAATGCAGGTTTTTGTTGTTGCCCGCCAGAGCGGCCAGCAAGATGAACAATTGCTAAGCTGAAGCAGAACCGTTGGCATTTTCTCAGGCAGTAATTCGAGCCTTGTTGGTGCCACTGACTTCAAAAAGAACAAATATATTTTCTTATGCTAAAAATATAACAACGCAGGGTTTAAAGTTTTTCTAAAATATTTGATATTAATTTTTATTCTTATTTTTAACTTGGTGCCATGTGAAACAATTATTTAGTGAATCCTTTACTGACATGAATCCATTATTAAGTGCTAGTTTAATTTAAAGCTTTGTAACATACCTAGTCATAGTTAGCTTCAATGTAAAGGTGCCTCTCATGCAAGAATGGACCTTAATGATTCTTCCCCACCCCCCAACACCCCACCCCTCCACCTTTTCCCTGTCCTGTGAAGGAAACCAGCCCTTACCGTACCAGTTCTGATTTGCATGTCAGCCATAGCTCGGGTAATTGTGTACAAAGGTCAAATTATGCTCTGTGTCGTGCCTTAGACTTCTGTTGACCAGAGACTTGGCCTTAGAAGCCCAACCTTACTTATGTAAGTATAAAATACACAAAGGAGACTTCAATGCCATGGATTAAGATTGGATTCAGATGTACGTTCTGAAAGAATGATATGATCTTCAATATCACCTAGTTCTCCTTTAGTACGTATCTCGCTTTAACCTCTTACAGACTAGCATTAAATGATACAACAGGATGTTCCTTTCAAAGGGTTGGGGTGGAAGAGTAGAGACACTGCAGTAAGCGCTACTCTGGCTCAGCAGTTAATTAAAGCTCTTAACTCAGCGATAATTTAACGTGATTTTTCTTTTTGGTTGATTTGAACAAATTTTGTGATAAATTATTTTGATCAAGGGACCGGCAACATGTTGAGATTTCAATTTAGATCCATATCTACACAATCACTGCGCTAATGTCAATCAATGGCCAACAGTGGCTCTGGTTGTCATTAAGTTGTCTTATTGAATTGACTTTTTGAATGCACAGATTTATGGATACAGTGTTTGCACATGTACGCTATCTGTAGTGTATCAGCATATGCTTCACAACGAATTATACACTTCGTAGAAAATCCTGCACTGCACCCAAAATTTGCCAAAGCCACATGATGTACTCAAAAGTGTTGATGCATAGTTGGCCATTATTGACAAAAGGGGCTCAGTGACCTGGATGTAACTGTTTGCAGAGTCTGGTGGGAGCCAGGCAAGTGGAATGGGCATCCTCTTAGTAGGAATGGAATATCTGTTTAAGAAGAACACTGCATTAGGCACCAATTAGTTTCCAGATGTTTATGTTCTATTCATTGGGCGTTCCCATAAAGTGCCTTTCATTAGTTTGCAGATAGGTTTCGGGAGCAAGCAAATTGCTTCAAATTGTGTTAAGAATGTGGTTAATGTAAATTGGGAAGAGTTTTAAAGTAATTCCCAAAATTGCAGTGTGTGTGTGTGTGAGAGAGAGAGAGAGAGAGAAAGAAAGAGAAGGGTGTGGTGTACCTTTACAACCAGTGTTATTGTCCTTGGTAACGTTTTAGAATGGTGTGTGCCAGTACCTTAAAACCAGGAGGAGCAGGGACGTTTTTCCAAGGAATGCAAAGGATAGAGCAAGTGTGCTTTCACAGATTAGGATTGTACAAAATCCCCACTGAGGTGAGCAATCAATTTGAAACTGCTCTTGTTGGTGCTGCATGAAGAAGAGTGGCGACCTGGAAAATTCTCTGCTCTTTGAATAATGTTATGGAGTCCTTTTTCATCCATGTAAACAGGCCGACAAACGCTCTTCAACACTTCCCTGTAAAAGCCTTTGACATTGCAGCATTACCTTAAAGTGTCAGCCCAGCTTTGATGATTGAGACCTATGGTTTGGCTTTTTTTTTATAGATTTACTCTTAAAATTTGCAGGCAAGGTCCAAATGTAATCTCTTGATGTTTCATCAGAAAGTGATGTGAACCTTCCTTAACCATTGTAATTCGTGTTGCTGCTAGGTAGAGAGCTCTGTTTGAATTCTGCCTGGGCTCACCACCTCCTGACCCCCTAACAGCCTTTTCCCAATGTTGACAAGAGAGCTGACCTCCAGAAGGGAGGTGATAATAACTGCCGTTGGCATCAAAATCACATTTGCCTGAGAGTGGCATCAAGGAGCTGTAGCAAAGCTACAATCAGTGAGAATTGAGGGGAAGTTCCTACACTGGTTAGAGTTCTGCTTGGCACAATGGAAGATGGTTGTGGTTGTTGGAGGTCAGTAATCTCAGCTCCGTGGCATCTATGCAGCTGTTCCTCAAGATAGCATTCTAAGCCTCGTCTGCTTCATTGATGATCTTCCTTCCATCATAAGATCAGAAGTCAAAATATTTTCTGATGATTGCACTGTGTTCACCATCATTTATGATTCCTCAGGTACGGAAGCAGTCCATGTTCAACTGTAACAAGACCTGGACAATATCCAGGTTTGAACTGACAAGTGGCAAGCAACATTTGCACTGCACAAATGCCTGGCAATGACCATCTCCAGCAAGAAACTAGCTGTTGTGCCTTGACATTCAATCATCACTGAATCATCATCATCATTGAATCCCTTGCATTCAGCATACTGAGAACTGCTATTGATCAGGAACTTTGGAATTCTTTACCACTGAGGGCTGTTGAGGCTGGGTGACTATGTATATTCGAGGCTGCAGGCAACAAGTTTTTAATCGGTAGGGGAGTCAAGGGCTATGGGAACAAAGGCAGGAAAATGGATTTGAGAATCATCAGATCAACTATGATCTCATTGAATGATAGAGTCGACTCGATGGACCGAATGGCTTATTTCTGTAACTATGGCTTATGGTCTTGTAGAGACTAAGCTGGACTAATTCTATAAATACAGTAGCTACAACAGCAGGCCAGAGGCTAGGAATCCTGCAGCGAGTAACTCAGCTCCTGATTCCCCAAATCCTGTCCGTCTACAAGGCACTAATCCCTGATAAGTACAGCTCCAGTAGCATTCAAGTGGCTTGACACCATCGAAGACAAAGAAACCTGCTTGATTGATACCAGATTGACAAGCATCCACTCCCTCCAACATGAATGCTCAGTAGCAGTGTGTTTACCATTTACAAAGTGCCCTGCAAAAATTCACCAAACCACCTTTCAAACCCGCAACCACTACCATTTGGAAGGACAAGGGTAACAGAATAAATGGGGAACCTGCAGATTTCCCTTCCAAATCCTGGAATTCCCCTTTGGTAGACCTAAACTGATTGGAGTGTGGTGGTTTGAGCAAACAGCTCACCACCTGTACCTGAAGGGCAATGAGGGACACCCAGCCAGCGAAGCCCATGTCCTTGAATTTTGACCTAGTGACAATGATAAAGGGAATGGTAACATACATAACCAACTCAGAATGTGAGAGAGTTGGAAGGGAACCTGAAGATTGGATACCCAGCTGCTTACTAGGACTTGAGTGCTGTCATTGGTCTAAGCTTGCTTTTTCTATCTCATGCCTGGTCTGTTGTCCCTGAGCTCAAACAATGGCCAGTGGCTTTGACTAATTAAAATGCCAGGGATTGAGTGGCACTTCTGGTTGAAAATAATGTTTCAGTGTCACTTTTATTGGTCAAAGTGAATACCTGTATTTCACTTGCATTATAGCCATTCTGTTGTCTCAACACCCGGCTGTGTTTTGAGTGGGTGGATGGAAGCCCATAGGAGGTGTGCAGAAGCAGCTTGCTGGTGATTCGCCTCTGATCTTCCTTCCACATCGCAACTTCAGCAGAACCAGCTGGTGTTTGTTAGGCACCTCCCACCGTCACATTGAGGGGTGAAGGCAGCTGTACACAGCAGCAATCTCCGAGCCTGATCTCTCTCGTCTTAACTACCCTGCATCCTCTTTCGTTGATGAACTGGCTTGTTCAAAGTTACTTCAATCATGCAAAATTTAATATTTTGACATGTTTAACTGCTGCTCTTTCTGTTTTAGGCAGAAGCCTGATGCGGCGTTAGCAGGGGACGTAACACCAATTGTATCCTCGGAAGACTGTTCTGTGCGCTACCAACGGCACTTGAATGTTTACATGTATACCATCAATAACCCCCAGGGAGTAGAGCTCAACAGTGTGGAACACAACATCAGTGAACTGCAGAGATATATCCAGTCTCACAGATGTGAAATGGTAAGAACCAGTTTCCAAAAGCTTTATTCTGCCATTTCTGCCATAGAAAGACTGCAAAGAATGTCTTTAACAGGGTCACCATAACAAAGTGCGTCAAACATAAGACACCATTCATCCAAAAACATAAAACTTGGATATTGTTCTATTTTGTTCGAGAGAAAAGAGGGGCAAAATTGTTAAAACGTCTGGGCAACCAGTTTGATTTTTCCAAAACTACTTATTGGAATAGCAGAATTGTTGTTTGAAAAAAAAGGACCAAGGTATCTTATCTATATTGCCTTTAACCACTTTGGTAGCCGTGTGATACACTGCATGGTACAAAGATGCAACTGTTAACTGATAACCGCAAACAATTGCAGAACTTCCTGCAATTACCTGCATCTTAATCTTATTTAAGAATATGTTCTCAATATCATTCATTTACCATTGTGAATATTAATCATGCAACTGTTGTGAAATAACAATTCAGTCGGTTCCAACTTAGCCATTTTTTCTGTTAAAGGTCATAATATATGAAGCCAAACAAAGATTGTGCTGGCATCTCACTTGGCAACTGAGATGGCATTTGGGTTTCCTCTTGGTACAACTGTGCAAAAGTCACAGCACTACTGAAGAAATTGAGATTTTTTTCATTGAATTCAAATCCTGCCATCTGCCACGGCAGGATTTGAACCAGGTCCCAGAACATTATCTGGGTCTCTGGATTAACAGTCCAGCGATAATACCACTAGGCCATCACCTCCCTGCAACTTGAGTGTTGATAAATCACCTCTGCCACACTACCACCATCCGGTCCTCAATTTTTCCTTCTTCCCCTTGCTAATCTAAGAGCAGCTGAAGCAGATTTGACTGAGAGGTAGCTCAACAGACCCTAATCTTCAAATCTGAGACCTGACGGTTAAGGTTGGTTAGTTTCCACACGACACAGTACGTTTTGTGAGCTGAACCACCAAGGCTGGAAAAGCATTTTTTACAAGTGTAATATTAATATTGTTGAGCTCATTGTTTACCACTGACCCCGTTGTTTCTCTTCAGAAGTCCTTATTTTGGTCATGTTGACATGCTGATCAGGTATAATTACCAAGAACCACAGACAGGTTTGCAATTGCAATAAGCAGCAAAACAGATGGTGCTGTATTTAATGGGTTTCAGATGTCCAATTGTAATCTATCTTCACAATTGGGATATTGGTTCACGTGTCTAGGCCATGCTAATTATGTTGTGTGTTTCAGGATTACGGTAATTGGTCACAATTATCAATATTATTGAGATTTATAGATTGGCAAATTAATTGCTAAGAACAACCAGATGTCCTTTTCTAACTGGAACCACATTTTGTATTTTTATGATTGGTGTCAGGTTGAATAGGATTATATTATGGCTCAGTAGTAAATATATAACATTAGAATAAAACTGTAATGTTAGTTGTAAAAGTGGAAGAGGTTAAGAGTGAAACTTGCAGACTAATTTAGAATGGTCACTATAGGTTTGTTTCAAGCTTGGGTTGTATATAGACAGGGCCATTTTGAAATATAGAACCACTGGCTGGAGGATTGGGAGTGGGAATAGTTTGGGGTGAAGAATTAATGCTGTATTCATAATGGAACTGTTTGAAGGCCTCTCTATCTTGCACTAAAGCTGCAATGTAGACCTGGAATCAGGATGACCTGATTTCTGAGTAAAGAGAATTGAAACTCCCTGAAATCTGATCTCTAACTTTAGATTATAATTTTAACATTGGTGTGAAGCAAAGCAAAGAAACTGCTTTGGGCAAATGCACCTTTGTGAAATGAAAACAGCTCAAGAGTGTCCCATGGGAACCATACTGACTTAAGCAAGACTGTGCTGGTACCAATGTGAAAAATAAGCTTGTTGAAAAGATTCTTGGTGCACTAGCATAGCTCAACACAGCAAGGTCTTTTGCAACACAGTACAGCTATTCATTGCTTTTCTCCTTTCTTTCTTTGAATAGGATACACTTTCCATGCCATCCAATCGGTCGTCACAGGCTGAACTGCCACAACCTGGTGAACGTGTTGAAAATTTAAGAACTGAGGAGTGTTGTAAAGCCAATACTGGAAACACCATTGCACAAACGCCGATTGAAATGCCCGCCGAACACTCAGCTTGCCTACGGGAGGACACACCAACTGATGAAGTGGTGACTGATTCGTGTCCTGAGGGGATGCATTCTGAGAGTCAAGAAAATATCACTGAAGACAGCATTATTGATACAAAATTAGAGGAGAAAGCAGCCAGTTGTGAAGATACATGCACAAACCTGGAGTGTGAAGGACAACAGGAGGAGTCTGTGTTGATGATAGAGTCTGAAGATATAGCAAGGAAAAGTGTACTTGTGCAGAGTGCATCTAATGGGGACTGTGGTGGCAGCAGTGTGTACTGTGACGAAGCTTCTGTGGAAACTTTAGGACCATCTGAAGATTTACCTCACAATCAAGGGTGTGCTGTCAAAGAAGATGCTTGTCAAGGGGAGATGATGGACAATATGTTGATTGTAAATGATGATAGTCCTGATGGTGAAACAATAGACTCCAAGAAAAATCTTGAAGTAAAGGTGGAGCCTATTCCTATTGTGGAAAGTAAGCTAGAAAACGTTAAAAACTGTGTTGAGTCGGTCACTGATGAAAATGTCTTGAATGATAATGGTGGATCAACAGAGGGATTTCCCCAGGTGACAGATGGTTATGCAATAGAACTGAATAATGGAAGTCCTCCACTCCCTGAACAGATTGCAGAAGTGAAGGTAGATATGGAGTCGAGCAAAGATGAGTCCAGTGCAGATATTGATGTCAGCATAACTAATGAAACTAATGAGACTAATGCTGAAGCTCGCTTTGAGGTGAAAAATGATTCTTCTGACCAAATGTTTGCAAATTCACAAGACTTGATTCTCAATTCCAATGAGAAATGTGAAGGAGTAAACAGTGAAATGGCTGTAGAGGAACAGTTTGTGCAGAATCAGGAAGTGTCAGATATGTTGCAGTCACTGGATGATGTTGAGGAATATGAACAAACTTGCTGTACATCAGAAGTGGTACACTTAAATGTATTTGAAAGTGAACCTGAGCAAAATGATGATGAGTTAGAAGTGGACTGTCTTTGTGATGATCAGTGGTCCCAACAGGTCGATGCATTATTGGAAACTGCATTAGATTCTAACTTTGAAGATCACGTTGTGCCAATGGAAATCCAATCAGTAGTGGATTTAAAGGAAGGAGCTTCTCAAAATGAGTGTATCAAAGAGTTATCATCATCCAAATGCAGCTCTGATAAAGAGCCACCTTGGTTGTCGATGACAATGGAATGTACAACTGAAGATAATGAAGATGATGGGCCCCAAGGAGCCAAAAGGACATTGGACACCCTAACCAAACCAACTGATACTGTTGCACATCTCCAAAACCAGGAAATGTTGCTCAGCATAGTAGAGGAACCTGCTGATTATATGGTGGACAGTTCTTCAGATTCTGAGGATCAGTTTCAACAAAATGGGAAACCTTCAACTGTAGATGAGGAAGATTCCTGTGTAATGGAATGCAGTGGATCAGGAAGTGAAGCAAATGGCAAAAATGAAGACATTTTTCTTGGAAATGAAAAAATTAATACCGTTTCTTTGGATACAAAAGTGATGCAGAATTCTGCCGATCGAAAATTTAACATAGTGCTGGACGCAAACGGGAATTTAGAAACAGTCAGCTTTAAAGGTAAATGTACCGGGGAGAGAAATGTAGCCTTGTTCAACTTAAATGTCGTACTGTTTTCATGGTTTACTTAAGCTTTGTTTTCTGCGTGATGTAGATATTTAAAAATGATTAGTATATTTCAAAACTAATTTTTTTCTGTAAAATGCAGTATTATGTGCATTTGGAAGGATGCATAGTATTTTCAACTGTAGATCCACATAACAGAATTCTCTGGATAAAAATGCCACTTCTTCAGAATGTTCAGACAATATAGTGACCCAAAAACTTAAGGGCTGTCGAATGGTGTCATGGTAGTCAGGTTGATGGTTGTCACTAAATTGATACCCTCAGTCACGCTGGGGCAGTAGGGCAGGAACCCCCCCCCCCCCCCCCCCCCGCCACACCAACAAGAGGGAAAAGGAATTTGGAAGATATTTTGTGGGAAAACTGCAGAAATTGCTTCAGTAACTTAAAGTCACACCCAGGTTAGGGAAGAGTGTGTGAAAGTGAGCAGCGCCCGAAGGAAATAAAGTGAAGGCTGGATTTGCACTGTAAACATTTTACAACTCACCTGCTCAGAGATGTTATTACACACCTCTAGCAGGTGGGACTTGGGCTCGAACTTCCTGACTCAGAGGTAGGGACAGTACCACTGCACCCCAGGAGCCCTGGATATACACTATATTGTAGAGTTAATAGGGCATCTTGGACTAATAAGTCTCACTCCAAAGTCAGTTTAAACCTTGACATTAGGGGTCTTGTGATACAGTGGAACTGTCATGTCCCTACCTTTTGAGCACAGAAGATATGAGTACAACTGTTACTTGCCCTAGAAATTAAGTGAGAACAATTGGTTTTTTCACACCTTGACATTTTGGAGTACATAATTCTTTTGTGACAGTGCAAAATGAAGGCACTTCAGTGTTTTTATCATTTCATTGTAATTTTCTCTTATTCGTTTGTGGGATCTGGGCATTGCTACCTGGGCCAGCATTTATTGCCCATCCCTCATTGCCCTTTGAGAAGGTGGTGGTGAGCTGCCTTCTTGAACCGTTGCAGTCCACCTGCTGTGGGTTGACCCCCAGTGCTCTCACGGTGGGAATTCCAGGATTTTGACCCTGCGACAGTGACAAAATGGAAATAATATTTCTATGATGTGGAGGTGCCATTGTTGGATTGGGTAAGCAGAAGTAACAGGACGTCAGGTTATAGTCTAACGGGTTTATTTGAAATCGCAAGCTTTCGAAGCACTGTTCCTTCGCCAGGCAAAGGCAATATATTTCCAAGTCAGGATGGCAAGTGGCTTTGAGTGGAACTTGCAGGTGGTGGTATTCCCATGTATCTGCTGTCCTTGTCCTTCCAGATGGAAGGGTCATGGGTTTGGAAGGTGCTGTGTAAGGATCTTTAGTGAATTTCTGCAGTGCATCTTGTGGACAGTAGATATTGCTGCTGACCTTTGCTGGTGGAGAGGTTAAATATGGATGGTTCAACTGAAGCCCTTGACAGTAAGTGAAACGTCAGGCTTTTTGCTGGTTAACCCTGTCAACTACCAGTTTATAATGGCTTTTGTTCACATTTTTTCTTCCTGCATTGACTCCACCACCTTTCTGGAGATGTTCCATGGATAAAACATTCTCCAGCATTGATGAGAATGAGAGGTGATCTCATTGAAACTTAGAAAACTTTTAAAGGGCCAGTCAGGCTACATGAAGAAAGGATGTTTTCTCCTGGCTAACAGAATGGTCCAACACTTGGGGATATGGTATCAGATATACTGACATCTCATTTACGACTAAGACCAGGACTAGTTTCTTTTACTCAGTGAATGGCAAATCTTAGACATTCTCTATTCTGGGGAGTTGTGCAGGGTTGGTCAATGAATACATTCAAGACAAAAGTTTGTCAATTTCTAGGTATAAACTACATCAAAGGATATGGAGATGGTGTAGGAAAAATGGCATTGAGCTAGATGATCAGCCATAGTCTAGAATGGGGGAGCAGGTTTGAAGGGCTGAATGGCCTATTCCTCTTCCTATATTTCTATAGTCCAACTTTCGTATTTTTTGTTTCCACATGGAGGCGAGCGTATTAGGTGACGACTCACTCTATTACCTGCCTATCAGTTCATTTAAGAGACAAATAAGATAGAAAATAGAGTTTTCATTCCAATATGTTGAAGTGAGGTGGAGCTTATGGCTGACGCAAAGCAGTTGAATCTGAACCAGCTCTTGCAGCTTTCTGTTGTGTGTTCTACACTCTGGCCTCTTGAGCATTCCTGATTTTAATTGCTGCACCATTTGTAACAGTTCTTTTAGTTGCAGAGCCTTACATTCTGGAATTCTCTCAGTAAATATCTCAACCTTTCTTTCCTCATTTAAAATGCTCTTTAAACCTATACCCTTTGACCACGCTTTTAGTTATTTAGTTATCTCCTTATGTGGTTTGGGGTAAAATTTTGATCATAGACCATAGAATCCCTACAGTGTGGAAACAGGCTCTTCGGCCCAATAAGTCCACACTGACATTTAGAGCATCCCACCCAGACCCATTCCCCTATTACCCACCTAGCCTACACATCCCTGAACGCTACGTGCAATTTAGCATGGCTAATCCACCTAAGCTGCACATCTTTGGACTGTGGAAGGAAACCGGAGCACCCGGAGGAAACCCACACAGACACTGGGAGAATGTGCAAACTCCACATGGTTGCCCAAGGGTGGAATTGAACCTGGGTCCCTGGTGTTGTGAGGCAGCAATGCTAACCACTGAGCCACTGTGCTGCCAAATTTTGTTTGACAGTACTCCTGTGAGGTGTCTTGTGATGTCTTATTACATTAAAGATGCTATATATAATGCAAGTTATTGTTGTTGAGCTATGTGGGACGTTTAGTTTGGGTGGAGTATTCATTTGCCATTTGTCATTTACGTTATTGTGGCTTCCTGTTCGACTTAATTTCAAAATACAGTTACCAAATTAATGCCTCAGTCATTTCAGTTAAAACTTACAAGGCTTGTCAATAAGTAACAAAAACAAACCAAGCTCCACTTGGTTTTATTTCTAGAAGGATAGAATAGCTAAGTGGAGTGGTTATGCTAAACTTGGAACAAACCTTGCGGAGACCACACTTGGAGTTCCTTGTGCATTTCTGGTTTGTGTTTTTTAAGAATATGGAGACACTGAAGTGGATGCATTCAAGAGATGTAGAAGGACAACAGCAGAACTGTGAAGTTATACTCATTAGGGAAGGTTGTAGATTCTGTCCCTTCTTTTGAAAAGAGAAATTTGAGGAGTGACCCAATAGAGAGAGATCAACTTTGAAAGGAATTCAACAGACTACTCGTGGAGCTACTTCTACTCTGAGAAAAAGCAAAGCCAGCAGTTATTAACACAAGATTTTCAGCAAAAGGTGAAAGAGAAATGGAAGAGACCTCTTTACTTACAAAGCAGTGAAACTGTAAAACTCACTACACAGGGAGTAATTTAGTTAAATAGTATAGATTAACTTGAGGGGAAAAAAGATGAGTTTCTGAGAAGGATGATGCTGGTAGCAGTAGCTACCTTTCTCAATTCCAAGGAAGAGTCATACTGGACTGTTTCAACCCTGTTTCTCTCTCAGCTGTCAGTCCTGCTGAGGTGTTTCAGCAGTTTCTGCGCACATTTCAGGTTTCCAGCATCTGCAGTATTTTGCTTTTATTATACTGTACAAGGGTGGGAGATGATTCGAATAGAGTATAAATGATGTTGCATGGACTGATTTGTGGTGAATGGCCTGTTTATGTGTTGTAATTTCTAAGTAACTTGGCTTCCAGGAGACTATTTAGAAGATAATTATTTGATATCTGTCTGGGAGTATCATCTCATTATAGGCTGTCATCAGTAGAGTTGAGGGTTGGTGCAGGGAATCACAAGGTGATCATACATCAGCTGTGAAAAATGCAAGTTCTGGCACATTTCTGCCTTGCTGACCTTAGCTTTTGCTGCTTTGAAGAGACATGGACATTTACCAGCACTGCTTCAGAGAGGATGATATGGAACTTTGTGCTGGATGTTGTCTGCGAATGGGTTACTGTCTGACAAGACTCTGCAGAGGAAGCAAAATAGATCAACGTTTTGCTTTTTGAAGCAGCAGACACTTCTGGGAGGCTGTTGTTTGTTGATCAGTCTCTTCCCTGGTAGATTGCAGTACTGACAAGGTTGGGTGGGACCCCGTATTATCTGGTGGGAACTCTGGCTTTTCAATAAATAGGTTGGCCATAAATAAACAATCGTTACGGTAATTGTTATTCTTTCTTTTTTAAGAGATAAGTAGTTTTAGGTATGAGTTAAGTACATGTTTTTGTGAAAGATTACTTTTGTACATAGGAGTAAGGAGATGTAGGCTGAACTAATGTTTTATAATCTGGCACAGAGTTGTCTTTTGATGCTGAGCTGCTGTTGTGCAGTTACAGCAATGACGCCATCTGGCATCTCCCCAAGATCCAATATTTCCAGCTAAATGACCCCACAGAGTTTCTTTTCATTTCTTTATTTACTCCATCAATTTTCTCTTTTGCCTCTCTTCTCTCTTTTTCCTTACTCACCCCTCTCTTCCTTGCTGCCTTCATCAACGGCCTTTCCTCCATCCATCCTTCCCTCATCAACCTCTTTCTAATACTTTGTGCTATTCATGGAATGAAAGCGAAGGCATGTTCCTGGGTTTATATTAAACTTGAGTTAAAACCAGTTCACAAACTTGTCACTAGTTTCGAAGAGTAGGATTGGAGAATGGTTATAGCACAGAAGGAAGTCATTTGCCCCATTCTCTCTGCTGGAAATAGAGATGGGGGGTTGGAGTGGAGTGGAGGGAGGGAGTATAAGTTAACACCACCCAGTTATGCTGTTGGTTAAGGGAATGGGTAGTTAGCTGAGCCATTTCAAAGATCAAGGTGCAAGGCTGGATTCCCAGTGTGTGCGCTCAGGTACAGTCATTCCTCTGTATCTCCGAAATCAGTTTTCATGAATTTGCCTATCCATGCCAAAA